CTCTTTCTCATGATGCTGTTTAGTTTATTTTTTGTCACCCCGTACCTCTCCTCTCTACTCTTCGCTCCTACTCCGTCTTCCCCTCTGCCTTCTTCTCTCTTGCTCTACCGCTGCCTTGGCTACCGCTCCCTGCCTACTTTGTAGAAAGTAGAACTTTCTACATGTACTATGTGTTACATAGTAAATCTAAAGAGATACTATATGTAATCTCCACAGAGAGATTACATCTCTCTATGGAGAGATTATTATCTCATTTTCTCCAATGAGAGGCAGTGCAGTTGGCAGCAACTCAGCCACCTCGTTCTCAATATATTACTTTGGTATTTTTCCATCTGCTTCTGGTGACTTCCTAGTAACTTGCACCTTCAGCCTATTGTAAAAGGTAGTTTTATTAAACACTGCACTCGTGGTTAGATGACTGCTCTCATTTTCTGCTATGATACTTTTCTTTCTGAAATGCAAAATGCAAACTAATTTCTAGAAACTCCTACCCTCCAAAGCGAGCACATTAGATTTAGAAAACTAAAGGTTTCAATAATGGAATTCCCTTTACTATTAACTGACTTAGACCTCACCTCCTTGTTATTTACTTTATAGTTCACAAATAAGTACCTTGTCTTTCTGAATACCTTTGTTCTACACAAATTATGGTTACCATCTGACTGCTTCAGCTGCTGTACTTCAGGAACAAATTCCAAGATAAACTGCTACCCCTAATGCTGTAATCTTCCACATGTAGTTTCTTTACACGTAGTAGCAACCTATATTCCTTGTAGCCACCAAAATGTTTATACATTAAAAAAACTCTGGTTTTAGTTAACATGTGCAACAACAAAGATGCCCAAGTTTGTTACCCAAACTTAACACATAACACATTCTGCAAATACATTTATTTATTGACAAGATCTCAAGTTTGTCGGAGACTGTCCATCTAGGATATACATTTCAAAAGCGTATTTGTACATCAAAAACAGGTACAGCAATAACACTTTGTCAGCAAGATTACAAATTAACATCTTGACTTGGTTAGTCATCAAGTTCAGATTTACAGGAAAGTCCTCAGTACTTACACTCAATAGGACCTCCTCCAGTCAGTGGGGGTGAAGTAAGGTTTGTCTCTATACATAAAGTTCCTGTTTGTGAGAACCACACCAGGAGAAAATGACTTACTTAAGCTCTGATTCACAAGGTGATCTACTATTTGTAGCCCAAAGTCACCTGAATTTTTGTGTTGCTCTGTAGCACAGATCCACCAGCCACCACCTGCTTAATTTCTTTGTCACATTGAAACTGTTCCTGCTTCACCTGTATTTGCATTTGCTTGTACCATACTGCTGACCTCCTACTCGTCCTGTAGTACTCAATGTAGTGGTCTCTGCATCCAGTTGGAAGTTGCCATTTTTACTCCATTTCAGCTCTTTGGTAATCCAGAATTACTCTTCTACAATGCTGCCCTCACTCCATCATGTATTAAGCAAGGTTGAGGCCCATCTCTGCAAAGCTCAGATTAAGGTTCATGAGACACCTTTCTCTAGACATGAGAAGAAAATACTGCTACCACTTTCCTAGTGAATCACCCTTCAGCTCAAGGATGCCAGTCCACTTCCGTAACAATACCAGCCACTACCAGACTACCCTGCAGCCAATGAAATGCAATAACCCTCTATCGCCTCTACCACTACTCCAACAACCCGCTTGCCCTACAACTCTGAAAGCACTGCAGTATCCCTCAGCCTAGATGCCCTGTGGGATTTCAAAAGGGCTCCAAACACTTCCTGTCAGGAGCACGCCATGGTCCACAGGAAGGTACATGCCAAAGCTGACCTGGCTCCAGCTCATCCCAGCTAGGTCCACAACTTCCCGTCCTTTGGGTGAGGGATTCTGCTTGGACAGCAGTTACTACGAGCTCCCCTAGCAATATTGTTTGCTCTTACATCTCACAGAAGAGGTATACAGGCATACGCGAGAGTGTGGCTCATACAACCTTTATGCAAAGGCTCTGAAGATTACAAACGAGAAAAAGTGGTATTTAACCTACAGATATTTTAAACCACAGATACTGCTGCTGGCCACTCACAACAAGCTGTTTCTACCACATGGTTTTACCTTTACATGGCTTTTTAATACTCATTTTTTGACCCATTCTGCCTCTGGCCTATGACTGCTCTGCCCAGTCTTGTCCCACCTGCCTCCATCCAACTTTGACACAGTCTGACTCCTGCCCATCTGATCACTGATTTCCAACAAAGACAAACCGAGCCACTTTGACAAGTAGCTTTTATCCACAGCCCAACATTGAAATGAGAGAAATTGCCAAAAAAAATCTGGTAAAGGCACCAAGCCTTGCATTCTCCACATTACTGTGCAATAGGGCTCACTGTGAAGTAGTAGAGTCGAGTTTGGAAGTGACATCTGACCTGACACTTCCTATTTTCCCTTGGGGCAGCAGTTGAAACACGCAAGACAGACAAGTCACGCAGACTCACACACACCGTAACAAGATTATGACCCTTCACTACCAGTCAGCTGCAGGTAGGTCATCATGCTCTCCGGCGCACCAGGTCATCTCATCTGTGGCACTGGATTGGCTAAACACCGCAGTAAATGACTTGCTTCAAATGGCAGAAACGCACGGAAACGTGTGGAAATACACATCTGAGCATGGGTCAGCACCTCAGACGCCATGCTGTGCTGGCTGAAAATTCAAGCTGGCAGCTCAAACGTTTTTAGAGTCAAAGTGTCAGCTAAGCTGATTATTGCCACTGTGCTTACAAGAACCACCCCAACTCTATGCTGCAACGGAAACAAATAACCTGAATGAGCTGCCAGTAAATACTGGAGCAAGCACTGAACAATAACCTCCTCACACAGCTACTTACATCCCACATTTGGAACTCATCATCTTTGTGCATCTCCTGGGCAGTTAACTTTCTGCACTTGTACTTCTGTTCAAACCAGTTTAGCTGCTTAGATATCCACATGCCAACTGAGATGAGGTCTAGACATCTCTTCAGCTAACTTACAAGATAACACTAAAACCAAAAAAATGACAAACACCCACACACCAAGGGAGTCATGGTTGTGCATTCCCAAAGGATCACAAGAATTCAGCCAGATTGCCAACGCTAACACCAAAATTAGGGAGAATGGTTTTCTTGAGTCAATCAGCTCTGAATAAGGGAAACTGATGTGTAGGCAAGCAAGCAGGACACAGATACAACCATTTCTACTAGCTAGGGGTAACTTCCTGCTTTTGACTAGTCATGGGTAGACAGACACAAGCAGCTAAGACACAGTACCAGGAAACTGTAGGGAATACAGGTGTATTCAGGATATTCTAGTTCAAGCACAGAACATATGCACCAGCCTGAATGAAGAAGTGGAGTTTCAGCCTATGTTGAGGAGTGACCTACTTCAAGTATCTCCTCTTGGGAACAGGAGCTCAAGAGTATGATCATAGGCCAGACACACAGCAACACTCAATCATAACTTGAGCTCATTTGGTCATGAAGACAAGCCCTTAAGCATTTAGTTTCAATTTAAATCACTAGTTATACGCACAGTTTAAATGAAGCACTTCCCATTTAATTTAAACAAAATAGGTTTTATCAGAAAGTTACACAAACCCAACAAGATTTATTTTTCAAAACCATACTTTATTTTTAAAGACTAAGAGAAGTATTCAGAACTATATTTCTTAAGCAAAAAGATTCACATTTCATTCTGCAGGGTCATTAGTAGGAGAAAAAGCATTTGCGGATTTATTTTTTGCAACTGTTGTTGAGTTCCTACACCCATCCAGATTTATTTAAAATTGGAAACATCAGTTATGGCTTAAGATACAGAATTACAAAAGAGTAACACAAACGTTGAGACTCAAGTGGTGAACAGGTAACTATGGTCATTTTTCCACAGAAAGACAATGTTTTAGCTAAGACAAACAGAAGCAACAACTAACTGTATTGGTAGACAGATCAACCGAACATGATCAGCACAGACACTGCTTCAAGGATACCTATGCTGTTAATCCACAAACGTTAGAATAATGTTCTGTCTGCTCCAATTACTTCAAGTTTTCTTCTGTATCACAAGCCTCAAAAACATGGAAGTACGAAACCATGACAACAGCTTTTTGTTGGTTTTGTTTGGTTTTTTTTTTTTTTTTTTTTTTTTTGGGTGGGGGGTTGTTTGGGTTTTTTTTTTGAAGAAAAGGATACAAGAAAAGATGGAAGACTACAGTATGCGGTGAAGGAAGAGTCATCCCCTCTAAAGAGACAGAACGACTTTGGCCAAGAAATTTTAAACAGTAAGGACTCAAACCGACTCAGAAGCCGGAGCTGATTTGTAACTCTGCATTTACTTGTTCTGGATAGCTTGCATTCAGTGGGACAGAGGTAGTGATGGGAACAAGATTCCTTCCCTAAAGTTTCCAAATAGATGAAACCTGGTGAGCATGGCCCCAAGGAAGGGCGAGCGCAACCAGCTGAGGACCTGCCAACTGCGAAAGGACAAGAGCACAAGCACAGACAGTAAAGCTGCTCTCCCATACCCAGACTGATAAATAAAACGTGTAAAGGCGCTGGACAAGAATTGAGCAAGGAACAAAACCTCTGTGGCCCCTGCAATATGTACTTCATGCCAGGTTGTGCAAAGGATAGGACTGTACCTTTGCTACACAGTTGTGATCTAAATATTACATTATTTGCAGTACTGCCAGAAGTTCCAGTGTGTAACTAGCTAGCATGGTTATGTTGATAATTTTAATAGTTTATATAAAGTCAGTCACCCATTTAAAAAAACCCAAATAAACAACATAAGGACTTGTATTTGCAGACAATTCCTTTATCCAGTTAATTCTTCAGACTTGTCCCACCTTTGCTATTTGTGACTAGGCCAACTTTTCTGTCCTAAGGAGATTAAGACAGACTTAAACTGTTAAAGTTCCTTCCTCTTTGCTCACTGAGAGTAATTTTCTAGAAAAAAATCCAAAACAACACAACAACAGGTTTTTATCTTACACTCCTGAAATACTATGATTTCTTACAGGAGTGTTCATTTAAAGGAAACTGTCTGTAATACTTATAATAAAAGGTTGCAACTCTTGGACAAGAAGGGATGGTTTCAACTACGTCACCTGAATATAATTTGAGTGCTATAAACCAATCACTAAATAAAGTCAACACTTGGGCCAGAGTTCTCCTTAGAACACCCTATTTCTCTTAAGAAGATCAGAGGTACAATGGTTTGTTTTATTGCAACACTGGTTAGCCAAATCCAATCCTTCCCATTCAGATATGATTTTTAAGGACCAGGGATATTATGGTTTACTGCCAAATTTGGCAGACAATTTACCGATGAGATTCATGACCTTGGGATTGTTCTGGTACTTGGACATATTTGCTGGGTTCTGGGCAACATCTTGGAACGCAGCCATAACTTCTGGATCCTGCAGGACAAAAAGAAAGAAATTAGGGCATTTATAAAACAAGCCTACAAAAGTTAGTGGTTATGTGGTCTCAACACGAATCCAGTCTTGCTCAGCTTTTCACATGACAAGACTAGATTGGAGTTTTGGGCAAGAGGTCTCTAAAGAGAAAACAAGGATACAGTGCAGGCCGTTAACGCTGCATCAGTAAACACCAGGGTTGTTACTGAACTTGTTACAGTAATAGCACAACATGTGAGAAGGAGGATAAGGTAAGAATTATTTTTCCCCCAAAAAGGAGCCAAACACAGCCACACCTACTGGTTTATTTCTATTCAGGCATCCCAAATGCATTTTGAAGGAGGCAGAAGCTCCATGCGTGTAGTACGCACGGTAGGATAACCCTCCTCTGAGCAATAGCTGCTACTCCTCCCTTTCACCTCGGTCCCCTCTAGCAGCAGAAACTTTCATCTGCTAGGCTGTGAGCAGATGATGTGGCAACGTGTGGCTTTTGAAAACGCTTCTGATTCTCAGTCCTTTCCCAGCTCCTCTGAGAAATCACAACTGGAAGAGAACCTTGTTATATCTCATCAACTACAACTGTTGAAGTTGGTATTCTTTTGACCACTGACTGTAATGTACATGTGAATGTATTTATTAACGGCATCTTCTCTACTTAGTATAAGAAGCATTAATACTTTTTTCTGTACTTCTAGTACACCTTTGACCTCTGTTAAACTAGAATTGTTTTTACTCATTTTACATGTGCATGTTTTGAACAGTGCCCTTTAATAAATCTGTATAGATTGATTTTACATCTCAGCCTGGAAAAATGTTTCCATTATAAGCAAATTCTGCAAAGATCCAAGTTTTCTTTAATTCAGCTACGGTGCAAGCAGTTTATTATGTCCAATACAAATCATCTGCATCAGCTGTAATTTCATTTTCTGTTTTTTTCTAGCGCATTTAAGTAGTTTCACTGAAAGATACAATTTTCCCTAGACTTCTAGCCCATTGCTACCACAGATGTATTCTTCCAAACCATCAAAAACCAATTTATGTCCTCTGAGCGCTCTGTGCTACAATAGCACCACCCTGTATCTATTCTAGCATCAGACACAGACAAGAGCTGTTTAACAAGTCTGATCCAAAACTGTGTTTGGTAGGTGTGGACTCCACTGAAATCACCCACGTGCTTCAGTCATGTTTTATACATGTTGGAAAACAAGAGTCAAGTCTTCTCTTTTGTTAGAGGGATTTACAAGTGTTTTGTCTCTCTCACAAAAGAGAATCTGCAAAGTCTTTGAAAAAATAGGATGCTGAAGTTCAGAAGACAGACATGTTTTCTCCACTTTACAGGATTTGTATGTAAAGAAAGAAAGAAGACTTTCACAACCTCAAACTTCTTGAATTTCTGATTTCAAAATAGGGCTCATGACTATAAAGATCATATCATATTGTTAAATCTGTGTTTTCACCTGTAGAATATGAATCTGGAACAAAAAGCTGAGTAAGCTTACTCACTGGTTTGTGTCAAAGCACACTTAAATGAATGTTAAATATCTAATTTTTTGCTACGTGTTTTACGATCCTATAAATTCACAGCAAGTAAGTTATTCTGTACTTGTGCAACTCCCTGGAAGCCCTCAATCTTAAACATTTTTATAAAAAGAGTCTAACACATCCAAGGTTTCACACTGATGAGCAACACTATCAGAATAAAGTTTAAGATTGAAGATATCAACATTTCCATAGGGAAATATTTAGCACATAAGGTGGAATGGGAACCACTCTGTAAACAGCGTTAGTGAAACATTCAGTTTTCCAATGCTCTAGTCTTTAGTTGCAGAAGGATGAAAAATACTTCCAAGGAAAAAAGTTATCACGATTCTTTTTTCCAACTTACATATTTTCGTGGAAGTCTAGGTCTAACATATGACTATAGGTCAAATAAGGAATCCATAGGTCCATCTTACACATAACTGCTTTTCAAAAGAACTTATACTTGACCCATAACAGCCCTCCAAAACACAAATGTCATGTTGTGTCCAGAGAGAGCAGTTGCACATGCAAGACAGGAGGTACTACAGAACCCTTCAGACAGCCAAAATAGTAAAATAAGAGAAACTTTTAAAAGTCTCAGCCAATTCTTCTGGAGACTAAAAAGCTTAGGGGCAAAAGAGTTAAATAACACGTTAGAAGTCACTCCAAGAGGTCACAACTATTACAGTTAAGAAGCTATGAAAAGAAATGCAGCAGCGGCTTTGCCACTTTGAGTCTTTTATGCATAAAAGACTAGTACCAGCCACAATTTAAACACAAACAAACAAACACACACTATCCTGAAGACAGTAAATCTTCAGGTAATGGAACGAGGAATCTTTATCAAGAAAAGTTTTTATACTAGCTTGCAGAGATTCTAATCTTTATGCCAATGATGAGCAGTAACGTCTACAAACATGTCCATAGGCAGTCATCTCCTGCTCTTTGGTTGCTTCTACAGAGGAAAAGCTGAAGTTGACAGCATAACCAGTTTAATCTAGCTTATGTTCAGGCACACAGAGTTACAAGGTTTAGGGAGCTGTTAACAGACTCAGGCACAGTTCAATGTTAGCTCATGGAGAATAGTCTCAAAGCTGATGAGGTAACAGTCACTAAGCCTAGAGAGATTGTGAAAAGCAATACTCCAGTTTCAGTAGTAATTCTTCACTATGAAAAGCCTCTACATACTGTCAGTTAAAACAGTATCTTAAGATTAACGATTTGAGAAAGAACTGTGTGATTCAGTATCTTCAGACTTTTTTTGTAACACCTCAGATAACCTACGTAATAGGTACCAGCTACCATTATCCATCAACATATTCCATAGCTGCACTGAGCAGAAGCCAAGCAGTAGAAACTACTGTCTTTTAAGACTACGGTTTACGCTGCCAATTCAGAGAGGAACAGACCATAGTCAGTTGGACATTTTAGGAAAATAAGACAGCGTAGACATAGGTGAAATGCGGGATAAATCGTATCTAGATGTAAAGTTTTGTACAAAAGAAGTCAGCAAGACACTCAAGGCTTTGCTGACAGGTCTACATGTGAAAGCCTGCCTGTGTTATGAGAAAACACCGTCAACACACGCTCTTGCAACATCCTATAGTATGCTGGGGCATATATAACCAGCATGCAATGGAGTCTTCTTAAAGGCATGTGGCAAGTGCTTAATATTTAGCTGCACCTCAAAGCTCTGTTTTTAGCAACTCTAATTTAAACTCCTGTATTACATCATAAATTAGCCAGGTAATGAATACAGCTACAAGTCATGAGGGGTTTTTTTGATGGTTTGGATGCAAGTCAACATGGCTGACTGTGGCAGCCAAAGTAAAGGTGTGTTTCCAACCATCAGAAACCATTAAGAGAACTCACGAACTTTTGCATGGAAAGTGATGCCTTTTTTGTGATTTCAGGGCATACCAAATAAGGGTTGCTTGTGATGCTTTTATTTAGATGTGGACCATGGCTGTTCAATGAGCTGAGAACAACACGTAATTCTAGTTTAACCACAGCAATCCAGACAAAGAAACAAAACACTTTTATACTTGATCATATTGGCATGCAAATAAAACTATATAGCTCAGATTTTTCCTAGCCGACCTGCCCCTAAAACTGATGTTGTCAGATATGTTCTATTTAATTTGCTGGAATATTTTTCTTGTGTAAAAGTAGTCATGACATTGAGCAATTAAATAACCGAGCCATTAATCAAGCTCACTGGGGAAGCAAGATCTCTGAACATGAATTTAGAAAACGCCAGACGCAGAACTATTCGGATACTACTTTGCCTCTGGCAAAAACCAAACACTTAATCCCCTAAATAGAAAGGCAATTCTCTTCTCAGTATTTTTGTAACATATTGTGTTGCAACAATATTAATAATCATTTTTTGTTTGTGTGCAATTATCTTGCCACAATGTGTGTGCATTCAAAAAGAAGCAATTGAATTACACCATGTGGAAAATAACCATTCAAGATACTCAAGAGATGAAGATCTCTATACAGCACAGTTTTGCCTATCATAAGCACGTATGGGGCCGGCGGGGCTGGGGGGCACTTTTAATTAAGATCCCATCAGTTTGAAAAACAGCTAACATTGATTCCAGACAGTCTCGTGCCTCGCATGCAAGGAGAGAATTTTGCAACAGAAATAAGCAAGCATCCCATTGCTATCCAGAAGGTCACATCTTTCCTCCTTCCCTCAGCTCACGGGTGCTGTTCTTCCCTTGTTCAAAATGTTTAGCTTTGATTATAACAAATACTCACCTGCATGGCCGCAAGGACTTCAGGATCACTGAGAATCTCATTGAGACCTGGCATACCCGCCATTCCTGGCATACCTCCAGGCATAGCCCCGGGAAATCCACCTGGAAACCCAAGACAAGAACACCACATGATGAGAGGCATTTAATTCATCTATACAGGAGGCTCAGAAAGAGACCAAGATATACTTCCTTTGCCACACCTCTAAAGCCATGTCTTCCGTAAGGCTACAGCGTCTTCACTGAATGGAAAGCAGGGTCTTCACCCTCTCTTTGTGTGAAGACGTACATCTTATTTCACTCATGTTTTTAACCCAACTGAACAGGAGGTTTGCATTGAGTGTCAGGTTTTAGCACCTTGTACACAGATGCGGTTATTTTTCTGGTTAGCTTAAATTCAGTAGGTGTCAAGCCCAGGAACATAAGGAGTTTGAATGCCTGGGGTGAACAATTCTGGACAAAAGCAGATCAGCAACAGTACGTCCCAGGCACGTTCCACATTTGACGGGAACTTTAGGTTTGAAAAAACTGTAACACCAAAAAAAAAAAATTCCTGAAGCAAAATGCTTGAGGTTGTTTTTAAAACCTTAATCAGCAGCTACCCTAGCTGTGCTGAGCAGGGTAGACATGGTCTCTATTTGGTTCCTCTGAAAAGCTGATCCAGTTGAGTATGCATACAGCCTACCTCAGCTACATCTCAATCTTCGAGAGCATTAATACTTACCTTGTTTCTCCCCAATTAATTGTACCCAAAAATAACATGGGAAGCCCAATTTTCATTGAATTGTTCAAGGACAGCTTTTCTAGAAGGTAAATTGCACTACCTCCTTTGAGAAACTATTCTGTTCAACAATAGATTGTGACTAGCACAGATTTCTCTAATATTCAATACAAATTTTCAACTTTAAAACCATTGTTCTTAAGCAGAATGGGTCCAGGACACCCTGGGTAATTTAGAAAACATTTTTATACTAGTTTTTCAGCACATATTATTAAGCAAATACTACACCTTTGTTGTTTTCTCAGACCTAAATCCTTTCATTATTATCCATAATTACTGGTTTGTCTTCCCTCTACTTGCTACCTAACATCAATTATCTTTAAGAGAAAGAATCCCACCCCTCTTCTCATTGGTGCTCAAGGAGTTATTTGTAGACAAGTTCTAAACTTCATAAAATATTTTTCACTCTCTCTTAAGAACAAATGCTATAAAAACTGTGGTTATAATACTCCACACAGAAACATATGAGATTCCCAACAGTCATCTCTACTTCAAGTATCGGTACTTAAAAATAAAATACCTGGGAAGCCACCAGGGAAACCACCAAACTGAGCTCCTCCTGCCTGTCGTCTTGCTTCTTCCTCCTGCAGATGAAAGCACATCAGTCCACACAAAGCAATGGAGCTACAGTCTGTTTTCTATCGCTCAACTGGTTTTAGGAGGAAAAAAAAAATAGCTGCAACTGTTTCAGGCAGGTAGACTACCACAATAAACAAACAAAGCACTTCAATGTGTACAAAATTACCAACAAGAAATAGTAATGTCTACTCTTACTTTAGTATGTATTTGCAGATAGGTTACGCAGAGTATGTTTTTACTGAATATGAACTGCATGATTTGTTTTAGATCGTCAGCTCACATTTTTAGAACTAACTCCCCCCCCCCTATTAAAATATATCAATAAAGCATGAAGAAAGAGCAAGCAAACTGTGTCAGGAGTTAGGAAGAGAAGCAAAGTATTGTTTTAATTTAAAACCTCCCACTTCAGGAGACATAAGTACTTGAAGTAAAAACTATTCTGGTACAGTTATACAGTAAATGACTTCTTGAAACACAGGATTAGTAGAGATTCCAGAGCCTGCTTTTGTCATCAGCAATAAAAGCAGATGCAGTACAATGCCCTCTTCTCCAAATTTCATTATTGGTCAAGTAACTAAGACAAAAACCAACTCTCTAAAATTTAATTCTAAGACTTAAAATAAAAGCGATTCTTCTCTGCAATTCATTTTAAACAAAGTAACTATGATGCTCTCCAAATTATTAAGAAATATTAAAGGCTAAGTATTCACCCTTTGTGCTTTCTCATGCTCCTCCCGTGCCTTCTTCACTCTTTTCATTCTTTCCTTGATTTCCTTTTCTTCACGCTTCCGCTCGTATTTTCGGCGATGTTCAGCAATTTTCTGAGCCTGTTACAATAGAATATCAAGATTTCATATACATTTCTAGCATACCACACAACATTTCAATACAAAATCCATACAAGTAACTATCTGTTCTTACCAGTCCTTACAAATAAGATTTGACTTCACATTCTAAAAGCCCCTTTGTTTTAGGAGTCATTTGCTGCTTCCTCTCTATGGCAATCAATTTTTCATGTCTACTTGGCCCTAACTGGACTCACCAGAACATGCACTCTAGTATTCTGTTTTGCTAAAGAGCCCTGGGACTTGCATCTTAGTTAGAACTTAAACACGTTATCATTGCATGTCCCTTCATGATTTTATGCTGAAATACTTATTTCTCCAGGGCTAAAACCAGCAACTGCCTTAGAAAAGGGAATCTTCACTGGCACAAGAGCAGAAATTCCCCCTGCACACACACACTTAAATAGTGTCACTGCTGTTCCATATGCCTTTGCGGCATATACAGCTAGACATAATCAGTTCAAAGAATTCCTGAACCAAACCAAGAAAGGGCTGGTGGGGGAAAAGTTTGTTTCCTATTATCAGCTTTTTCTCAAGTCTATAAAATCCACAGCCTCAGCAGAAGAAAGTAGTCAGCAATGAACTCCCCAAGGCTCCTCAGTCAGGGCTCATTCTAACAACAGAACACTAACTGTAGCACTGCTTTCTTGAAACCAGAATGTATCCTTGCACAGCATGGCAAAACAGTTCATGATTTCACAAACTGTGTATGATCATTACCCTGTAACAAAAAACATAGCAAAACCAAGGTTCAAAACCAGATATACTAACTACTACTACAATGGATACTCTTCTATTCTTTCAGAATACTCTTTAAACAAAGAAATTATAAGTATTGAAGCTTCAATACAACTCATTTTAGCTAGGAGACATCCATTCCACACCACATCATTCTTACCTGCCAGAGAAAACACACCGCAGGCAGCAGGACTGACCGATATTGAATGCAGTATGTGTTATCGGAACCTGATGTTATGGCTGTTACCTTTCTCCTCTCTCTTAATGAACTATTGAGAGTGTTTTGTATTTTTTGGGTTTGTTTTTTTTTTTTTTTTATGAAGCATAAAAAGCTTCCAAAGTTTTGATTTTCATTGGTTCTAAGTATTTCTCAAAATGAAATACGCATTTTTAGAATTTGACTCAGACTTTCAGCTAGAAATACCACAAACTAAAGAGTGCTAGGAAAGCTGGAAGTCAATAAATCGGGTGAACAGCTCATCTTCACTAAGTAAAGATTAAAACGTCACCCATTAAAATCTCGTACACTTTTTCCTTGAGCTACATACACAAATACTCACAGTTGGCAACTACGCCTCAATGTATGCTGTTTCTCATACTCTGCTGTTTCTGTGCATGGGCAGATTAACTGGAAATAAAAGGCTCCCCCTCAGCCAAGCATTAAGTATACCTGCTATAAAAAAGGGTGAGATCTAAGACCTAATTACATTTCCCACAGATCAATAGTCTCCAAAAGAGAAGACTAACAGGTTGTAAGATGGTTTCCATTGTTGTTTTGTTGGAGACTGTCTTCTACAAAGATGTGGTAGGAAAAACTGAAAGGCCAAGTTACTAAACATAGGAATGTTTGTGCATGTGGTGGCCTAACCTTGGCTGGCTGCCTGGTCCTCACTAAGCTACCCTCTCACTCCCCCTCCTCAACAGGACAGGGAGAGAAGATAAGATGGAGAAGCTCCTGGCTTGAGATAAAGACGAGGACATCACTCATCCACTACCATCATGGGCAAAACAGACTCAACATGGGGGAGATTAATTTAATTTTTTGTCAAATAAAAATAAGAGCAGGATGATGAGAAACAAAGACAAAACTATAAACACCTTCTCCCCACTCCTTTTCTTACCAAAGCTCAGCTTCAACTGAGTGGTGCAGGGCAGGAGAATGGGGGCTGTGGTCAGTCTGTAACACTGCACCTCTGCACTCCTTCCTCCTCATGCTTTTTTCCTGTTCCAGCCTGGGGTGCCCCCCCAGGATATAGTCCTTCCCAAACTGCTCTAATGTGCATCCCTCCCATGAACTGCAGTACTTCACAAACTGCTCCAGCATGAGTTCTCCCCACAGTCCAACAGACTGCTCCAGCATGGGTCCCCCGTGGGCTGCAGCTTCTGCCGGAAAACCAAGTTCCGTATGGGCTCCTCTCCATGGGCCACAGTTTCTGCCATGAGCTTGCTTCAATGTGGGCTCTCCACAGGCTGCAGTTTCCCTCAGGGCATACCCACCTGTTCTGGTGTGGGGTCTTCCATGGGCTCCAGGGTAGATATGTGCTCCACCGTGGACCTCCATGGACTCAAGAGGGACAACCTACTTCACCATGGTCTTCTCCATGGGCTGCAGAAGAATCTCTGCTCCTATGCCTGGCATACCTCCTCCCCTTCCTTCCTCGCTGATCTTGGTGTCTGCAAAGTTGCTTCTCTCACTTTTTTTTCCCTTTACTCCCCTCTCTCACAGCTGTTGCACTGCATTTATTAACCCCTTCTTAAATATGTTATCACAGAAGCACCACCAGCGTCACTGACTGGCTCGGCTTTGGCCAGTGGTGAGTCTGTTTTGGAGCTACCTGGAACTGGCTCCGTCTGACATAAGGACAGCCCCATGTCTCTTCTTACAAGAGGCCAGCCCTGCAGCCTCCACCTCCCCTCAACCTCACCACTTAAACCCAATACAATGCAACAGCTGCAATCTGTGGTCTGTCAGCCACTTTAAAGGAACATGCAAAACAGATGGAAAAAAAAAAAAAGCCTGCTATCAACAGTCTTACATTTGTTACAACAAAGTTCTTCCTGAGAAGAATGCTGGGGTCAGTCACTTGAGAAAAGCTGAAAATCACTCTTAAAGAGATGATGCTGCCCTCATGAGGTAGATCAATGAAAGTACAAATTACAGCAAAGAATGCTTCCTTTGTAAAACTTTTTTGGGATAAAGCTTTGAACAATTCAGAAATGTTTTGAAAAAAAAAAATCCATCATCAGAGTGTTCTCTTGCTCTTCTGAATGTTTTAGTCTAGATTCTAAAATGCCTGGCAAAACTTCAACTACTTCAGATTCTTTTGTTAAGATTTTGAAAAAGGAACATTATTATTTCATAGTTCGGTCACATGCCTAGCTCAGAGACTCAATTTCTCTACACGCAGCCATAAACAGCTGGGATTGGAGACAGAAATATTTATAAACTCAGTTTGAAGTGTCAGATGACACATGAACACATTCTCACAAGACAAGGCATATTGGAAGAATTTGAAGGCAGCAATGTCACTCAGAGGAGGAACCTCCATCATGCCTCCCCACTTACTCTTGGTTGCACCTCCTTCAGCATGGCACTAGCATCTTCATCATAATCCAGTTTACAAGCCAATGCAAGATCATGAGCAGCCTCCTCCCAGTGACCCAGAAGTCTGGAATTTAGAGGACATCAACATTCAGAAAGAAAAAGCAAACTGAACTCATATTCAAAATATTTACAACCATGCAGCATTCAGTTACTTCTACCTTCAGCTATATGGACTTACAAAATTCTGAAGTTTAATAATCATGGTGTTTTCTGTAACCTGCACACAACAATGCCCTTAGAGGATACCTGCTCGCTTCACACCTATACAATAACATTTGCTTGAAGTAAAAATGAGGAAAAATACCCTCAATCAGTTAGTATCAACGTTTGCTAAAAACAAGAAGGGTCTAACAGGGAGAAGGTACCCTACCTAAACCCATGAAGCACACTAATAAAAATACTCTGCACTACTAGGCACATGTTCAGTGTAGAGCTACATGTTCAGTGTTCTTTACAAGTCTACGCCACCGCTACGTCAAGCTTAAGAGGACCGTCTTTACTCAGCACTCAAACACCCTAGCTAACTGGATGCACCATGTCTTAGTTGAAGAGGTCATACAGACTACTGTGCACACTTCTTAACTATTCATTTATACAAACTCATGATAATAAAACATTTAGGCAAATGGTATTCCTAAGAGGTCAAAGCACTTCTGCTTACAGACAGAGGTGTTAATCCAAACTATTCTCCATTCTTCTTGCTCTCAGGTTCCATGGAATTTATTATTAAAACCGTAGACATGAACAAACTACTCTGTGCACACAGTTTAAAATGCCCGCCCCCTTTTTTTTTTTTTTAGGTTCTACTAGCATTTACTCTTTCCACTTTTATATGGACCATAAGAAGTGTTGTCATCTCTTTTTTGTCTGATTTATTGTCATTTTAAAAAAAGAGTTTACCTACAGTTGGGGGGATGCCCATTGGTATAATGTAATTTTAAATAATTACACTGTTTGCTTAATATCACTCTTCAATTGCAACAAATGTTTCCCTTAATACCTAGGCTGTTTAATTCACTGTGTAAAAGAGCTCTACGATCTAATGGAGTAAAAGCAACAGAGAAACACTTCATTAAAACAAAAGACCACCAAACAAATAAAACCCACAAGTCCTAGACCTCATCTTTAGCAAATGATTAGAAAATGCTATTCACAATGTCAGTACGCTACTAGAAGATATGTTTAAAAAAAAAAAAAATTAAAAAAAAAGAAAAAAGACTGCCAGAATGACTACTCATGAATTGCCATGAATAAATCACCATAGTCCTTTCTTTCACAGCACAATGTTTCTTGGTTCATGATTACTGCTCTCAGGTAGGAGCCAGACAGTTTAGAGGCACAGAGAAGCAGAGAATGCATAAACAAAACTGCTCCCCCCAAGTACAGGTGTAGTTCACTACCTGTGTGCTTTCCCCCTCCACTTGTAGGTCTGTGCCGAGTCAGGATTAATCTTGATGGCTCTGTCACAATCTCTAATGGCGGCATTTGGCTTCTGTAGTTTCACAAAAACACTGTGGGAATAACATTTATTATACATATTGAAATACCAAGTTACTAACTTAAGCTGGAAATAATTTTGGATGACTAACAGGCAAGCTACTGAGATAATACATTTGAAAAGCTGAGTTCAAAAAGATTTTGTAGTGATAATGAAGTCACTGAAATTTAGTTTCCCCGGCCCGTTGTTGTAGGTGAATCATTAGCAAGAAACGAACGTGTTCATTGTTCAGACTCAAGCCTTGCCAGCGAGAAAAACTTCAGCGCACAAGGACAAATAAACACAAAAGACAGTCAACTCCATGATCTTTGGAGTCTATAGCCAATGGCAACTAGCAATTTGAACAAAACAATTAGAGTGCTTGTAACTAACTTCATCATTAAGGCTTGTTAGAAAGCAAGAACAAAGTCATGCACTGTCTTCTAGAAACAAATAGGTGAACCATGTGTCAGGAAACTGTCCCAAAACTATGCCTCGCCGATGAAAGACATTCCAGTGCTGCTGACTGCACAAAAATCCTAGTCTCCCAAAACACACAAACCCTGCCGAGCTAAAATGCAAGTCCACCAGAGAGGCAGATCACTCATAGCACTTGATCAGCACTACTGTTTTACAATATCCTATAATATACTGTTAGCTTATTTCTACAATAGACCAAATTGAGGTAACTTTTAAACTTCTCCTAACACTTTTAATTTTCATTGCTTATTGCAGTCCTGAGAAAATATAGCATTATATGAGGTTTTAAAAATACTACTATGATGGCAACGACAACAATAGTGTATTAAGGTACGCAAAACAGTGTTACACGCAAGAACTCTGATATGGAAAGGAAAAAATAGCAAGGCATAGACCACTTAAGATGTACTAAGAATGGAACAGTTAAAGGACACTAATTAATCGAAAGTCATAAAAAGCTGAATTATACCTTGCTATGAAAACGATCTACTAAACTACGAAATCATCCATGATTAGTGGGGTTTTTTTGCATAAAAGAAGAAAAACAAAATCTGTGGAAACTTCTGCTCTGCAACCCATACTTGTCCAGCCTTCCTCAAGAATTAGAAACATAAACGTGTTTGTGCATTATGAAGTTAGGGCCACCACACATCGAATTTGACAATGTTCCAAACACACTATCTGCAGTCTGGCAGATGTAATTAGCAGTAAGGTGGTATTGAATGGGTTGAGAAACAGGTGTGTCCTGTTCAAATGCAGGACTGCTGAACAGAAACAAGTCTACTTCACAGTGAACGAATTCATTTAGCAGGTACAACAGGGAGAGAATTCACACGATCCACAATTAACTTTGCATCACAGGCCATGATTTCAATAATCATCTTAATCCCAGAATAAACTTCAGATTTTGCAAGTGTTTGTTACCCAGTATTATTCTAACTCAACATACCAAAAGCCATATTACCACAATGCATTTTGGAACATCATTCTGTTACTCTGTTGTCAAGATTCTTTACACGTTTGCTTCAGCAAATCTGGTTAATCACATATAAGATACAACGCACTGTGTACTTTTCCCTTTCCCTTATGTGGTTGAAGTTTACATAGATTCTCAGGTTGCCATTATATCTGGGTTCCTTAAGCAAAATAACAGAACAGGCAGAGACATAAATCACTAGTTTGTAATGACTCACCTCGCCCTCTTGGCATACAAGATGGCCAAACAAGGATTCAGCTTGATAGCATCTGTGAACAAGTCGACAGCCTTCTGAAGTTCACCTAAATATGAGTAAAGTTTCAGTCATTACACAATGAAATTACATCCAAATTGCCAAACCTGCTTTACGGAGTGTTATGTCCCTATGTTATGTCTGTTTATGTTCTTAAACAGAACATTATCAACAAAAGAAAACCAGTTTATCCCTCTTCCTATGTTACTGAAGTACAAACTCCAAAACTAATGCTAAAGGGGAGGAGACTTTTCTCAGCTAAATTTGTACATTTAACTTTGTATGCAACCAAATAGGAAGTCATCTCTTTATTACACAGCTTTTCATTGCATTAAGAACAACCACTAACCAACCGTAATATGTAGGGAAGTACTATAACAATCGATTTTAATTAAGATGCTGCAGTACCTCATTACCCTCAACTCTGCCCAAAACTATAGCTACATTGGGAAGACAGCACTTAAAAGTAGCTTTCATGTTCTAGACGGTTTTGGCTATCCAACAGCAAGTGAGTTGTTCTCTTCCTCGAAAGCATTCAAAACAGTCCAAGATATTTTCTTCTTTTTTAAGAGGAGAACCAAACCTAATGTCCTTGAGTATGTACTAAAAAATAATTTATCACCTTCACTTAGAGCATTTATTGCTTCAATCTTCTTCTCATTAGCTTGATCCACCATCTCTTCAGTTACCTACAAAAATAAAGATAATGAAAAACAGATTCAAAACTCAAAAGCCATAGAGTCCAGGCCAGAATTACCATAGTAAGACAGCGCCAAAAAAGGCAGTTCTAGTTTTCCGATTCTAGAATCTTGTTTTTAATTTGCATTCAATCATAGCTAAAAAAAAAACAAACAAACTTTGCTTTCAGCTTGGAGACATTAGCTTGAGTTGAATAATGGCAGATTTCTACATATCTGGTTGTCATGGGTGTTTTGATAATATTTTTTTGGGGGTTCCTGACCTGATTTTCTTCACTAGATTTTTGATGGACTACAACCTTGAATAAGAAAGGACTGTGGTTTTAAACCAGTAGGTTTTCTATTTAGGAGAAAAAGAGCCAAAGCAGCAGCTGGCTACCTGGCTAATATAGTACTCATCCCTCCTCAGCTGCTAGCCTTGACTAAACTTGAAACTTCTCCCTATCTTTCCTACTGCCACAGACATTGAAAATATTGTGCTTACCTCCACATTTTCATCTCCCATTTCTTGAGGATCATCATTGTCTGGTTCAATCACTCCTTCGTTGTCAATTTCTGAGGGAGAAACAAAAAGCAAGATTAAGTGCCATCTACAAACAGAGAGGGTTTCCAGAATCATGTTCACATTGGGGAAATGTGATTAAGTCATTTATTTTCCACACCTAAGTCGCTCTCTTCACTTTCTGGTTCAGGGGATTTAACTGGCTCCTCTGGCTGTTCCTCTGCTTTGCCCTGAAAGAAAAATGTATTTGTAAGCATGCGTTATTCTGACTGATACTCTATTCCCACTCTAACAAATAATAATGTATAAGAAAATCCAAAATTCATCTCCAGAGCATCAGATTGCTCTATGACTAAAGTGTTTTATTTTTAAGTTAAAATCCTCCTTTTTCCTCCTCTCAGATTAAGTCTATCACACATGCAAACAATTCAGAGCCCAAATTTTGACTCGTGAACTTTTATTATTGGTAAGGTCTGTCCTTCAAATTGTGTAATTCAATAATCAAAGCCAAATAATACAAATAATATCCAATTCAGAACCAGCTTTGCAATGAATACTAACCAACCCTTCCAATCTTCCTGCCTTCCTTCACACATTCTCTGGATCAAAAATTATCTCAATCTAATACTATTAAGCTAAGATCCTTTAGCAGTGAACAATAAGCTTGTGTCAATTATAAAAATATTGTTTCCATTTGCCAAGGTCAGAGATCTTTGCCATTTATACATACTTAGAATGTTTTTTTCAAATGTTTTCCTATCAACTTTTAACTACATCACTAATTTCCTCTGAATCCCATAATTTAGCACATTCTGCTTTTTCACAGACATAAGCTGCTTGTCTTCATACTCAGTGTCACACACTATACTCACTACATGTACACAATCCCTCCATAC